GCGATGCAACATAATATAAACTTACAGGCAAGTGAGGAAGAGGTCTGGAAGTGGCTGTGAGCAGCTGTTGTGTGTCGAGGCAATAATTTCATGTTTCATGTTGTGTGTGCTTCTGGTGCAAAATGAGGTGTTGAGATCAAAATTTTCATGCCTCTTCAAAATGTCTATTGTATATTTGAAATATAATTAATTGGCATTAGATTGAAGTTTATGGGTTTGGGAAGGAGAAATGACTGAAAGAGTGAGGTATGTGGGATTGGTAATGAGGTTCCTTTGTGCTGGACTGTATGTTGTTTATTGCTAAGAAACCCAACACTACAGCTACCCAAGAACATACCCTTTAATGCGATTGCTCTCAGTTTCTCAAATGGTTTAGTGGGCACCATGTTATAAATACGAGAAGGTTTCAGATTGGAAGTCCAGCCTTTGTGCTGAGTGAATGAATAGTATAGCTCATCTCAGGGCAGTAATTAGAATGCAGCAATTTGGCCTCAGTTTCTGAAGTAAAATCAGACAAGTTTACTACTCCTATTCACTATCAAGAGGTCCCTTCTAGAGGTGAAAGTATGTGGATATCTGGTGAAAACCTCACCACACCACATCTGATAAATTCAGTTCATCACAGTACACTTGAGTACTAGCTGACCGGTCTGGCAATGGAACTCCGGAGTGCAGTTGGACTTCGAATCGCTCTCTCCCACCCTCCCGGCAGCAAGTGTGCAAATTGTTGTGCCCTTTAAGTCTGGAGTTTTATAATCTGAGCTCTGGACTACAAATTCCATTCTAATCCATTGAGGATTAATTATGTAAAACCCCTTGGTGTTGTTTAGAATTCATTTTCTGTCTGTCTCTGAAGAGAGTGAGATGACGAACTAGCTTCAGTGAAATGCATTCCTGTAAATCTGTCCATGAGATAGTGAATTAAAGGATAATCAAGGACGTGAATGGCACTATTTAATGAATTGCACTCGCCAGCAGCTCAGGGTAATGTGCTTTGTGATGACGGGGCCATTTAGTGACGTCTGTAGCCTGTCTGCACAGTGCCATACTGCTCAAGCATGGCTGTCAAGTCCGCAAGCCAAAATACTGAACTCCCATAAAATACTCTGTATTCATTGTTTTAGAGTCGAGGGTAATCCATTGCATCGCTATCAATAATTACTCAACATATACCCATAATAATGAACAATTTATTAAAACAGCGGAAATCAGACAGTTTATCCAGCAAGTGTCTGAGCCTTAAGCAGGAAGGTATTGGGTTCAACCTATCCTTCCTGTCTTAGCAGATCACAGCCAGAGAGACAGTAATGCACTGGGGTGGAAAAAGCAGGCAGGGTTACCGCTCTGATGGCAGTATAGTGTGGGTTGGGTTTGGCTTGGCTGTGACTCCCCTGCGATTGACTAACCTGGCAACGCTCTGTGCCAAGGCTCAAACACAGTGGCCACTCGGGTGAGGTAATGTAAGCTGACTGCTGCCTGTGGAATTCGAACTATAAGCATCCACAATGGGTTTGCTTCAGAATCAAAACGCACCTTCTGCCAAGGTAGATTAGCTCCAGGGTCGGTGCCATGGAAACATTGACCACCTACAACGGCATGGAATTCCAATTCACCAGCAACAGCACCAAATCATCCTGAGTGGTGCTGTGAATGGCCAGATTGTGTCTTTGTGAAATTACCTCACGGGAGATTTTCTATTCTGGGAGACTATTCTGATAAAATAACGGACTAAAAGGATATAATTGAGCTCAGATTTAATGATCCACTGAAAGAAAATGGACTCTGCATTGTGACACTTAATACAATCTTAACCCTGAGTCCTGCCTGTCCCTGTATATTCTTATATGGTTCTATTATATTATGATCGCTGCACCCCAAATGCGCCCCCAACTTCAGATTAGTTACCTGATTCATTCTCCAAAACTAAATCTAGAACTGCTTCTCCTTCCAAGTAAGGCTACCCATAAATTGATTAAGAAAGCAGTCTTGCAGGCATTCTAAAAATACAACTCCATTTTGCCCCATGAGTTCTTGAGCCTGATGGATCTATATCTATAGTATTGCAAGGCACTGTTAATGACTAGCCAACATGACTCGTACGAGCAGATTATTCGTTCAATATAGAGGTTGTTTCCATTCCGTTCTTGTTAACCCTACAAGCCAAACTCCTCATGAAAAGGGTGGTCCTAGCTGGAAACGCGATGGGAAGCTTCTCAGGCAGTGCTGTCAACAGCAAGTTATGTGGTTTTAGCTGGTTCAAACTCCAGTAGTATCCCATTGTACATTCTGGAGTCCCCCAGCTTTGGGTCTTGCCAACCTGTGCCTAATATCTTCCGTCATTAGGTAAGCATTCAGGGAGAGAATTTGCGTTCCTTTCCAGAGAAACGGAAATTTCCATACACAGTGGAAAATGTATGTGGACCTCTGTCTGGTTTGGATACTCTTAACCATGATGATAAGTTTCTTTTGACTAATTTAACAACAACCGATATAGTTTTTTCCCATAAATCTGATACAGAAAGCAAGAAATCTCATTAAATGTTTCCATGCTGAACATTTCGTCTCCAACAGCTGAAAGCATTTTCTTAGTTGATCATATCCCTAAAGAAGAGAAGCCTCCTCTCTTAATCTGACAGTGATATCACTTCCAGCAAGAAATCAATGAATGGGTTCCATTAATATTTTATGTGAGAAAACAATTATTTTTTTCTCTCTCACGCACACAAAAAACAGATGATATCAGGTTCTGGTAAACAAAATGTATTACATGAAATTGGAATGAATGCTATTCCGATAAAGCATAGAGTGCCAGCCAGGAGACAGCATCAGGTGTCTTTACACAGGGACCAGTAGTAACTACAGGGCGGCTGACTCTTGCTGTGCAGTAGCTGTGCAATAACTGCAGGGTGTGGAGCAATGAGGAGCTTTGGTAGCTGTCAGTTTCAGTTTGTAAAGCTATCTGGTGAACAATAGAGATATCACAGTAACCTTTCATTGCAAATAATTATAATAGATTAGCAGCTTTGTCAAAATAGAACACAATACAATAAATATCAGAACTTGCATTTGATGTAGTGCTATCCTCTCAAAAGAGTTCACACAATCAGTGTGATTCAGGTTTAATAACTGTTGTTGCTATATAGGGAAACAAAGCAGCTAATCTGTGCCAGCAACAACCCACCCATAGAATGAATCCGGTCGATGTGATTGATAGATGTTTGTCAATTATCTCAATGATTTCTTACAAAAATAAGTTTTATACAGAAGTGCTCAGAGGACATTCTTAAGACTCTACCCTGCATGAACAGCATTATATAAATGAAAGTTGTTCTTGTTTTAGGTAAATATTGTTTTATAAATCCAAGTTATTCCTACAGTTAGTCAATTTTTGCTTAACTCGTGTGCAGTTATGCTGTATTTTTAAAACATCACAATGTCACTTGTCATCTAAGTGACCATTCCTGCTGGAATAACATGTTTGACTGTTTATATAGTAGTAGAAAAATCCATCATTGAGGCCATGAATAACAGTATAATGTGATCAAACACCTAACTCCATTCAGGCCCTGGAGTCACAATTATCCACTTTGCGCAACAATACAATACAAATTTACACTTACATAGTGCCTTTCATGTCAGGATGACATCCCAAAGTACTTAATTGTACTGGCTGGGCACGGAAGCTGAGGGTGGGTGGGGAGGGGAAAGATGACTGAAAGCATGGTCAAAGAGGCAGGTCTTGAGACAAATTAAACAAATTGAAACATTCAATTACAGTTTTTACAAGCATTTAATCCCACTCCTCAGGTTAAATCCAGACCCAACAGAGTGGTGAAGCTCACCTCTCTCTGATAGCTCCCAAAGATCCACTGTGGAAAAAGGCAGAAAAGTCAATTTCCAGAGAGCAGATGAGTGATCTTATTGTGTTTGATCCTGCCATCTTGGGGCAAAAAGGAAAAAATGTTATCTGTTAATTTGAAAATTGGGGAGAAAAAAGGATCAAATTCAACAACGTGTTTATGGGGTGGGTGGGGGGCGAAGATCACTTTCAATTTCAAATGCTTCAATCCATTTGATCTCACCAACCTTTCATCTTATCAAGCTATTTCTTTACTTGTCCCTGGTAGTGTTGGATATTAGGAAGTGAACCTGGTTGAGAGTAGCTATTGTACACTTAGTACTGAACTTACTTATATAGTATTTTATTATAGTGCTTTCAGCCTCTGTGCCCTGAAACCCTGGAACACTCTCCCTCAATCCCTCCGCTTTGTCCCCTCCATCCCCATCTTCAGGTCATACCTGAAGACCTTCCTTTTCAACCGTGCTTACGGTCCATCCCTCCCCCCTGGACTGGCATCAGGCTCTAGCACTGTCGGGTGTTCTGCAACACTACCCTGCATAAGGAGTGCTATATAAATACAGGTTGTTATTGTGGCAAAGGTTAAGCCATGTACCGACTAGAGAGAGGAGACTGAGACATTTTACACCACAGCACCATCTAGCCTCGGTGGAGCACAGTGTCAGCTGTAACTCACTCTAATTCGAGTTGCAGGGCGTATCCATTACAGACGAGGACATTTCCATGGAGAGGTGGTCCACACATATGTCTGGTTTAGATACTATTCAGTATGGGAATGAGTTTCAGTATGTATCAAACAATGACGAAAAATATTCGAGTTGTCAATGATCTTTTGTTTCTCTTCAGGTGATTGGTGATTTCCTGTCCCAGCTCTTGCCAAGGGAGGATTGAACAAAAAGATTTTCAATTGGCAGTGAATGGATCTGCACAGACCAGACCTGCACAATCTCCTTGAGTGGCAATCAGTGAAAAACAGCTAACTTACACACACACCTCTGTCTCCACCTTTAACTTCATCACAAGATGGTGATAATAGCTCCAAGATGATTAAACCTATTCTTCTAAGACACCGTCACCTTCTTTCTCAGTACAACAATGACTGCAGCATAATGTAGGAGCTTAGAGACTGGAGTCCCCATTTTGTTGCCATGGTTTTGTACACATCTGCTTTTCCCAACTCCTTCTTACAAACTCTTCACTCGCTGGCCTGGGCGCTGGTGTTTCCCTGTTATTGGTTCACCGACCGATTACTAGTATCCTTTCTGCCCACGACCTATGAAAAAGGTCAAAGATCAGACGATTCATGTTACCTACGGGCACTTTGCCTTATTATTGCCACGCCCATCTACCTGGCACTGCTGGTTGCTTCTCTACCATTTGCCCTCGTAGGCTTCCTCCTCTGGGCTCCTCTTCAGTCTACTCGACGACCCTACATTTATTCCAAGTTTGAGGACAAATCTCGTAGCTACGGATCACCGGGAGTCAGTGATTGGAAGGCAGTGGGTAGTGGGAAAAGTTTCTGCTTCGCCACAGCCAACGTGTGTTTGCTTCCTGACTCCCTGGCCCGGTTTAACAACCTTTCCAATACTCAGATTCGATCCAGCGAGATTGGTAAGAGGATCCGAAATGGAGCAAGCAGACCTCAGATTAAGATCTACATCGACTCTCCCACCAACACGTCCATAAGCGCGGCAAGTTGGAGCAGCCTGGGTTTCTCCAACAGTGCTGAGAACGCCAACCGCGCCAATCACTCGGGCATCAAACGCACTTCTTCCATGGAATATAAAGGAGACAATTTCACCACTAACAGCATCGAGGAGAATAAAGACCCCAAGCCAAGAGGGGAGCAGAACGATGGGGAGACCAGTTCCTTTATTGTCCGTGTCAGTGGTGATGATGGAAGCCAACTATCTGACATTGATATAGATGCCTCCATCATACAGATTAACATGTCGAGTTCTGCAGACCAGTCGGTCGATGTGCAGTCCCAGACAGGGAACCACCACCAACAGAAAGAAGGGGACGTGGGCAGCCTGGACAGCAACACTGCCTCCAGGGAATCTCTGATCCGCTTCCGAATCAGTGACGGCCCAATGGACAGCAGCGCAATGAATAATAAATTACTGTACAAGGCCTCGGTGATGAAGAAAGCCTCCATGAAGAAGAAGAGACATGTGGATGACACGTTCGATCATGAGACTTCTGCTTTCTTCCCCGCGAACCTAGACTTCCTGTGCCTCCAGGAAGTGTTTGACAAGCGAGCGGGAGAGAAGTTGAAAGAGCAGTTGAACCCCTACTTTCAGTACATCCTGTACGATGTTGGGACGTACGCCTGGCACAGCTGCTGCAGCTTCAAGTTTTTTAACAGCGGCCTCTTTTTTGCCAGCCGTTACCCGGTTTTAGACGTGGAGTTTCACTGTTATCCCAACGGGAAGGGAGACGATTCCCTGGCTGCCAAGGGTGCCCTATTTGTGAAGGTAGGAGTCAACTGCTGGAAATGCTCTACTGCAAATAATCTTCAGGACAAAAGAATTCAAAGTAGTGAATGTCAAACGATATCTAGGATACAATATCGTAGCCTTAAGATCATTGTCTCAAAATGTAAGGAAATGCATTGTTTTGAAAAGCCTCTCTACTGGTTGACCACACATCCAGTAGATTGTGCTAAAGAGGGACCAGGTTGATTTATTTTATGAGATTATTTTATAACCTCCCCATGCATCTCTGACTGAGACCAGCAAACTCAGCACAGAGCAGGGTTCAAAACAGCCCTCCCTGTCTGTAAACTGCAGCTCTATCCTCTGCATCAGTGAGGGTTGCCCTCTTAAGTTCAGACATAATTTTGAACTGGGCAATTGCTAACAGTGAAGGAGGGATGTTTTAAGGTAGTTGTCATGAGCTGGTGCAGCCAACAGTGCCCGAATAAAAATTGTTGTTACTGTCTAGAATGCACTGCCTGAAAGGATGGTGGAAACGGATTCAATAACAACTTTCAAAGGGGAATTGGAACTTGAATTGGAAAGCTACTTGAAAAGGAAACATTTGCAAGGATATGGGAAAAGAGCAGAAGAGTGGGAATCATTGGGTAGCTCTTCCAAAGAGCCGGCACAGCATGATGGGCCAAATGGCTTCCTTTTATGCTGCAATATTCTATTATTCTATGACTGTGTGAAGCATGATGTCAAATCCCCAACATATTTCCCCTCAAATGGGCTTCATATTGAGCGTAGCTTATAGAAAATTCCAGGCCTTGTTCCACAGTCGAGGTTGTCAGCTGCTTTTCTAATCGCACAATGCACTGGCATCTGCCACAGATAGTAACAGAAAAGTGCAGTGGGAGGAAGACTCTCTCTTTGAGTCATGGCTGCTGCCCGTCTGACCATTGGTGTTGTGGGGATGCATGGATGAGTCAAACAGCTTGACAGATGTAGACAAGCTAAATAATAGATGTGGGCTCAGTGTAGGCCGAGCTCAACCACTCACCAGCAGGACTGCCTTAAAGCTCCTGTGTTACCCTTTGCCCTGTGCTGGAAATGACCAGCCACATAAACTAAACTGACTGACTGAGATCAGCGCAGGAGGATCAGAGCAAATAATCGGTTTAGCTTTCACATTTGTTAATTCTAATTCATTGATGACCTCTAGCAATCCTCACAATTTTTTTCATAGTAAATATAATATGCAGGACTGATGCTGTAGCCAGAATCCAATCCTGTCTTCATATATACTGTATAATATATAGAGCAGTGTTATCACCAACAACACTGGTGTATTACGTTAATATATACAGCAAGGTTATACAGAGTAATGTATAATTTACTATTATATAATGTTTACAGAAGTGTTATGCCACATTAGTGCAGGACTTTTCTATCCCAATGAAACACAGAATTATCCAGTTATAAATGTAGAGTTTCACTCTTAGCCAAAGGGGTCAGTGGTCACTACTTAATGCACAATGACAACAGTAGCGGCATTGTGAAATAAATCACTGTTATGGACACATTCACATTCCTTCGGGACTTGAGCAAGAACCTGACAAGTGGACAGACAGAATGTGTGCCAATCCCACACAGCCTCAAGGGGAGATACCTATGTAATGCAGGTCACAGACATCTCCTTGAGGACGTGCTGTTAGCCTGGAATCCTATTGGTTACTGAACAATTAATCACAACACAAGTCAGAAACTTGGTCCTGCTCAGGGACAATTTGGATGTGAAGAACAAGTGTAGAGTTGAATCACGCATTGAAATTAGACATTTTTGATCCTTTGTCTCTTTCACCTGCCTTTTACAGTCGCTCTCATTGTGCCTGACAAATAGTGTTTGACCTTGGGAGGAGGCAAGCACAATAGAGCTTTAGGTCTAACTTCCCCCTGAATATCTGTCTCTTGAACAAGGCACTATAGCACACTCTGAGATTAGACTTTACACCAGACGGATTCCTTGTGTATTCAACACAAAGAGGCCGACTGTGATGGTCTTGTTGAAGTTTCAACACATCAGGGAGATAGCACACAGAGCACCTGGTGATACTGTCCAGATGGTCAGTGATCTAGCCATATCTAACGTGAAGATTTGTGGTGTTATTACACACCATCTGGTGCGATTGAAAATCATGGTGTGGTTGAGTTCACTGGCCGTTGTGTTCAGGAGACAGGGGATACCTGATCTGCAATCAGTGAGTCAGACATAGCTTCTAACTGTAGGGGCTAAAAGATCAGATCCTTGCATTTGGTACAGCTGCAAGGGAAAGCACTTACAAGGATTATATGACTTGTGATGTTTCACTGAGTGCTGTCCTTACATGCCACTTCCACCCACACCCCATTACATCCCATCAATGTTGCATCCTGTAGCTCAGTGGTTAGAGCACTCGCCTCGCAAGCAAGAGATCTGGGTTCGATTCCGGGCAGGGCAAAACCTTGGGCAAGTTTCCTTACTCCACATGCCTGATAATAATCCCTCAAGAAAACAAAACAATAATAAACTGGTCACTTCAATCCACGACTGTTTGTGGGACATTGCTGTGCGCAATTGGCTGCCGCGTTTGCCCACAAATATACAGTCAATTCACTTTACAGTGTGTTCTGTGAAGCGCTTTGGGACGTCCTCCTGACGTGAAAAGCGCTATATCAAATGCAAGGATTATTATTATTATTATTCTGTGAAGGGCTTTGAGACGTCTAGAAGATGTGAAAAGTGCTATATCAAATGCAAGGATTATTATTATTATTATTACCTAAACCGTGTCACCCTCCACCTCGCCACTCTGAATGTATAAAGGGTATCACACAGAGAGTGTGAGAGTGAGGCAAGTCTGCCTGCTCTGTGGCTGAAATCTGCTATTGTTTCATTTTACGATTAATCTCATGGAAAGCAGCAATGTGATTGAATCACCATCGCTGTGTCTGCTGCGGATTATATTTGTACTGGCACACAAACTGGTCCATTCATTCATCACCCTTTGAGTGCCATGGAGTGAGTCAGCTTAATACTTCATTGAAGTATCTCACGGTGTTTAATTTTACAGCAGCACATTTTACGTATTAATTTACAAATGCTATCACACTGTGGAGTTAAACTTTAGCCTGTTAACTATTCAAGGTATAAAGAGGGCTGAGAAGATGCTGTACCCCTGCAGTCAGGACATTTCAGAACAGAACAAAGCCACACGGTGACTCGCAGCATCTCCTCCATGCTTCTCCCTACCCAACCATGTGGAATTCTCAGTTTAAATGACGTTGGGCTGGAAAAAAAACACTAGTCAGACCATCTGGTCAGTTCTATTTTCAAACTCCATCTTTCCCTACGTCTACAATTCCTCTTAGATATATACATGCTGATACATGCACACATGTACAACAACAAGATTACATTTGCATAGCGCCTTTCACGTCGGGAGGATGTCCCAAGGCACATTTCAGACCCGAGCTGGGGTCAAGGAGGGAGAAGGGAGGGGAGGGGAAGGGGGGTGGCCGATGGCATGGTCGAAGAGGAGGGTTTTGAGGTGGGACTTGAAGGAGGCTAAGGAGGGGGCGAGGTGGAGTGATTGGGGGATGGAATTCCAAAGGTTGGGGATAGAGTGGCTGAAGGCTCTCCCGCCAATGGTGGGGCGGGGGACGTGGAGCAAGTCGGAGCCATATGTACACATATATATGCATGTAGACACACAAGTATGTAAACACAAGTATGCTTATATACACGTACACATGGGGTCACTATTCTGGCACTAACACTGCTCTTTGGGAGGTGCATTAATGTAGACTTATGGTAGGGACCTTGATGACTTGCGTTCTCTTACTGGTTAGATTTTCCTTCCAGGAACTGCCATCTGTATCTCAATTTACAATGTGTGATGTATTGCTGTGCGAGCTCTGGCTCAGCGCACTGCTCTGAACTGACAAGGGGGCAAATCACCCAAGCTGGGCATCAGAATCAGAATGAAAACCCAGCTGTTTAGATCTGTCATGCTAATGACTAACACTTAGAGTGTGGCCTCTGCTCTGGTAAGCGGTCTCTGGCACCCTCTACTCAACTTGTGTTAGAGGAGAGCGTCCACACTGCAGAACCTAGCTCTGGAGTCGAGGACAAACACTAGGCTTGCCTCCCAAGCTAGAGACCCTGGGTTCGATTCCCAGGCAGGGAGAAACGTTAGGCAAGTTTCCTTACTCCATACCTCTCTGTTTACCTAGCAGTAAGTAGGATCCTGGTTGTTAGTTAATTGGTGGATGGCTTTCCAGGGGTGGTAATTCCTCAAAAAAAATCTCCAGGGGTGTTAATCCCCTTTTTTAAAATAAAAAGAATGGTCACTCAATCCAGGACTGTTTGTGGGACATTGCTGTGCACATTTGGCTGCCGTGTTTTGCCCACAAAATGCACAGTCAATCCACTGCGTGGGGGTGTGTGTGTGCACTTCGCAGGTGACAGTGGTCACCTATCCTTTTCCTGTATTGTGTGGATGAAGGCTTTACAGAATAATCATAGTTACATATGAAGCTTAAGCTGCTTTGCTGCCTGCTATAAATAATGAAAGAGACAGTCCTTTTAACTCAATATTCAAGATATAGACTGTGGTTGTTGTTGTTAGGAATTTCTGGACAACTGAGGAAGAGGCAGCTGGAAAAGGCAGGGTTTCCCTGATATGGATTTGGTGACTGAGGTTTCCAGCTGCCTCTTCCTCAGTTGTCCAGAAATTCCTAACAACAACAAAATTACATTTATAGAGCGCCTTTCATGTCAGGAGGACGTCCCAAGGCACTGGACAGTCAGGGGTCAGGACCCGAGCATGGGGGAGGGGTGGGGTAGGGGTGAGGGAAGGCAGAGAGGTGGGAGGACGACCGAAGGCACGATCGAAGAGGAGGGTCTTGAGACCGGACTTGAAGGAGGCAACGAAGGAAGTGAGGCGAAGGGACTGTGGGATGTAGCTCCAGAGTGGGGGCAGAGAGGCTGAAAGCTCAGCAACTGATGGTAGGGG